TTTGTGTTTGTTCATATGCGCGTAAGTGGATGTTTGTGTGTGTGTGTGTGTGTGGGTGTGTGTGTGTGAGTAATCTGTTCAAAGGTTTTTAAATGAGCAATATAAAACATAATGAGTATAGACCATATTGTATTCATCTTATTTAGACTAAACCAGTTTGTGGGACGTCGGAACCTAATACTTACACGGGCGGGAGATTTGAAAGCACTGTAGCACCATAGGGAATTTTGATCATCGCGGAAGTCGAAAACCAACAATAGAATTTAAGTTTTCATAAGAATTTGTGGTTCTGTTTGGTCGACTTACACACCGGAGTATTCGAACTCACATAGCCAGAAATCTTCCTGGGGAGTTCAGACGTTTAGCGAGGTGTATTGATGTGCAATAGCCCGTAAACGATCGTTTCTGGAGAGGTTTTTAATGACACCTGGACAGCTTATAATAAACAGCCCAGAAAACGTTTGTGAAATTTGGTGTTCTTGCAGCCTGGGATTAAATGAAAAAAAGAAGTTTTGTTTGGTAATAGTATGTTTTAGGCTTTCACGCGTAGGAAGTTTGATTTAATTGAAAACAAAATCATGAACGACCTTTTAAAAAAATAATGATTATACTGTATATTGTTTCAGAAATACAGTACTTTTCACCTGGAAACAGAATACAGTACTTGTAATGCCGTCATTAATTACGTACTTGGTTGAATAAATCTTATTGTTTTTTATTCCGTTCTTTAAAAGACATTTGTGTATAGTTTGATTGTGCACTTTTTAATTCTAAAAAAATGAATTTATGATCGTAGTAAAATGATCACATGATGATTATACCCACAAATTATTTCATCTGATCAATAAACACCCTAACACTACCTGGGGTTAGGTTAATGTTAGGTTACTAAGCTCAGGGGGGCTAACCTTCACGTGATGCGGGTAAACCACTGCAACCACTTTGTATATTCAAGTTACAATTTGCTTTTGGAATTACAGTATAGTAGTTACAGTACAGTACTTGAAATTGTTCCTGTGAAGTGGTGTGGTGACCATGTAATTTTGGGGTAGTTAGGGTGGGGGAGGGGGTGAAAATAAGCACTGGATTGTACAGTACAGTATTTGAAACTGGAGAAGACCTTCCTGATGGGGATTTTACACAAGACAACTACATTTCTCTCACACTCGGTTATTGCACAAGTAATCAGCCACAGCCCTATTCTTTACAGGTTTGAGACTAGATAATGATGCAAGTAAATTAGAAGTCAATTTAAGTCTGTTCTACTCTACAAACTTTCTATGTGTGTGTGTGTGTGTGTGTGTGTGTGTGTGTGTGTGTGTGTGTGTGTGTGTGCTTAGCCAAGTATCCAGCCACACTCCAAATTTTTACATCATGCACGGGAAGACTATCAACCATCTGTTCCTGTACTGTACTGCACCACTTTGATATTGCACTTATCAACTTCATGAGTATTTTGTATATGACTTGTACAGTATTACCTTGAAGAAAAAGAGGCTTCAGTTCCCTGCTGACTCTTCAGTGTTCTCAGCTGTGTCTTTAATAATGTGATATCATAATTAGTTTTGTCTCCAGTCCCTATTTGGCAACGCTGATTTTTTATACTCTTGGTGTAGTAGCGAGTTGAATTTCTACTCAATCACATGCTGCTCAACTCACTACTGCACCCAGTGCATTAAAAATCAGTGCTGCCAAATATGATAAAGATTATTCTCGGTAAAGCACCACACATAGCGCCTGGGACCATACGTGTAGAAGCACTTTCACACTTACTCCTCCCTCTTCTGCATCTGTCATTTACAACTTTTGTGAGATGCTGAGAGGGTTACAGCTACAGTAGAACCATACACTAAATTGAAACAACATTGGAAATTACTGCCAGAGCATCATCAGAATTGTCACAAAACCATAAATAAAGAAAGAACAGTATGAAATTTACTCGAGCAGAGACTACGCAAGAATGTGTTAACAGGAGAAGCTCGCGTGAGAACTCTACATGTGGGTCACTGTAATTTCAGTCTTGTGTATTTTAAGATTTTGGACTTTCTCAGAAGTTAAAGATACCGGTACAGTATTTGCTCTGTGGCCTCAAAAGATCCAAATACTATGTAAACCGAATTCTGATGTGTTGAATTCCGAAATTGTGAGTGAAGGTTTACTGTTACACATCCACTGAGGGACTTCACATAGCTACCATACCTCTGGCCATCTGGACCATTAAGCATCTCCAATATTTTATGCATTTCTTTACCCAGGTTTATCATGTTCAACAAGTCACTAACCCAAACAACCACTTCAACTAATGTCTCTTAAGTTAAAATTATTCCTGTGTCAAAAATATTTCATTTATCTGATAATAGAAAAATAATTAATTTGACCTTAGTTAAACTCTAAATATATCATAATTCATATTATTACTTTTGCCATGGTCCTCAAAGTCCCCAGCCTTACTAAATTATCTTTTGGCTTTGTTTCTATACATTTAATAAAAACCTCTTCAACCCTTCCTGTGTACAAATGCCACATCCTTCCTGTGTACAATTGGAACATCCCTCCTCTACACAAATACTGTACTGTACAATACTACCATATTTCAACTCCAATAAGTATTTCAATGATATTTATTCCAGACTTGCATTTTCTACTACACTTACAAGTGTCACTTCTTTAGCTAAGTCAGGGCAGGAAGAATCATACCCTCTCGGTCTTTTCCTTATGCTTGTGGTTACATTTATCCTTATACGTACTCATCATCTTCTACAAGGATCCAAACAACTTTCTCCTTAGTAGTGCTGGGTCTTATCGCCCCTCCATTGTGCCAAGTCTGTACAATAGGCATCCTGGTTAAATTTCCTAAATTCCTACGATATTGTATCATCCATCCTTCTTGTTTTTCACTCATATCTATCTTCACTCATGTCCATCTTCACTCATATCCATCTAAACTCCATCATTGTTCTAATTCCTCTTCCATCTTGTTTCTGTACATCAATCTGTAGACTCTGATTTTATAACTAAAGTAAAGTTCTTCTCTGCTTTAAATTTGGTGGTGATGGAACTTGTTTAGGATGATAAGGCCAAGTTAAGTGTTCATATCCTGGTCACTGACTGACCCAGTGTTTTCCTCGTCAGCTCCTGCATATCTTTTCCAAACTCTCATATTCAATTGGAAAAAGAAAATGGAAATATATAAAAATTAAACATTATTTGAATATTTAGAAAGTCCTCTGGCACATCTTCATATAAGCTGAACAAACACCCAAACCTCACACTTTTGTACCAATTTACTTACAAACTAAATGATAAAAATGGAAACTGGACCAATCCAATTTTGGGTCCATTTAACTGGAAATAAATTTGTGCCGTATATTTAACATCTGGTTACACTGTACCACAAGGAGGCATATATACTGTACTGTACCATAATAACTTGCTACCAGGTACAGTACTGTATTGGGGATATAGGTATATTGTTCTGTACCCATTGTAGTACAGTACACCCAACCTTACAGAAACTTGTACTGCCAACTAACCATAAATTTTCAACCAATTTTGATGAAACTTTTGGTGCAGCTACTTGAGGTCACCAACATATACCGTAACATCTCTCTTGTGTAATGTTTCTGTTGCATCAGCTTTTTGTGTTGGAGTCGAGGCTCTTGATGGATGTACAGGAGCTCCTGACATGAGGAAAAATATTTGTACAGTATATTTCTCCTCCCTCGTCCCTTCTCTTCCCTCGTCTCTTCTCCTCCCTCGTCTCTTCTCCTCCCTCGTCCCTTCTCCTCCCTCGTCCCTTCTCTTCCCTCGTCCCTTCTCTTCCCTCGTCCCTTCTCCTCCCTCGTCCCTTCTCCTCCCTCGTCCCTTCTCCTCCCTCGTCCCTTCTCCTCCCTCGTCCCTTCTCCTCTCTCGTCCCTTCTCTTCCCTTGTCTTCTCAGTACATGACTATTATTAAATCTTCCACATTCAAAGTTCATTGGGAGAGGTAAGGTTTGGTTTATAAGTCTGAGTCAAAGGTCAGGTCAGGTTAGAGTCACAGGAAGGTCACAAGTCAAACAATTTATGTGGGTAATTCATGGTACAGTTTTCCGCAGAACAAAGCAAAATCCCGGTACAGTACTCCTGTTGGTCACCACCTGAAGGTGTTCATAGTGTTCGTAATCCTTGTGTTGCGTCAGTTTTCATCAGAGCTACAAGCCTTTACATGCTCCTGAATTGATGTCTGTTATTTTACGATTTTTTTTTTTACGTATTTATTGTACTGTACAGTAGTACGTGAAAAGTTTTGTAATGGGGGATATTATTATTATTATTATTATTATTATTTACAGTATTATTATTGTCATTGTATTATTATTATTATTTTATGGATCATATAACAGACTCAGAATAGACATTAATTTAACAGAACTAGCCTGTTGCTCTTTAAGAATATCTCCTACAATACTGTATGGGATAAAATGACTTATTAGAAGATTAAATACTTTACAAAAAAATTGGAACCACCAAAAATGTTGCAAAATAGGAGGAACTCGAAATGAAAGAAATACAATACTTTACTGAATTTTAGACAGATCACTGTACTTATTGTTCAAAATGTACAGAACTAAATACAGTACTGTACTCGGAAAAGGAAATTTGGAAGACAAAAAATGAAATTTTTATGTTTTGAACTTACTGTACTTGATGCCATTATGTTTGTGAGGAAGGTGCCTGGGTTTAGTCTCATTATGGCTCACTCATCTCCAGTGACGTAACAAATGTACATCAGTTTTTTATATTTGTTGTGATAGAATATATTTTAATATATGTATTTTTGTGCTGATTACTCTCTTGCTTTTATTGTGAATAAATCATCTTATTGGGAAAAAATATCCAAAGAGAATTGCATTTCATATCTTTTCCATCATAATCTTCAGCAAATTTCCTTCAAAAAAAGTTTATTGAATGTTATTAAAAATATTTTCATTCTGTCTCTCTCTTTCTCTCTCCTGTATAAGGAACATGAGCATCAGAGAGGGTAAAGCCGGGAGGCGGAGTGATTCTGTCTGGTCGCACTTTACCAAAAGATGGACTGATGAGAAACATTATGTCGTGATTTGTGTTCACTGTAAGCAAAGGGTTAGTGCGAAAGTTGACCGGCTGAGGAGACACTTGAGGAAGTGCGTTCCGTGTTACCATATCGCAAAACCCGATATTGAGGGGATGGAGGAATCCCCATTGGCCAGTACAAGCTGTAGCGATCCTCAGTCAATAGCCACTGAGTGTCCTCCCTCACACCTACCCAATGTAGATGCTTCGTCCTCTGGGCTTTCTCCGTCGTGGAAACTGGAGAACGTTCTTGTTGATAGTAAGGTTAGTGAGTGTCACACATCATCCAAATCACTTGTTGGGATGAGCAAGTTGCCAAAAAAAAAAAAAAAAAGCTTCCTCAGTCACACTACCGCCACTTTATTGCTTGGAACACCCCTCCTTGCTTCCTTGATCACCGAGCACTAGGCTGAGTCGTGCAAGTGCAGTTGTTGCAGCTTTTTGCTTCTGTGCGGGTTATAGGAATGCACTGTTAGATGCATCCTTGTGTGTTATTTATTGATTAAGAGATGATTTTTTGGCTTTTATTTCATATTCCTGTATATGTACTGTATCATAAACTTAGAAAAAACAATCACTCTCTCCCTTGAATACCGACATATGGTAGAAGTATATAATTATGACACTTAGTAATGGTGTAGCTTTTGGAACTGCCTTGTACAAATTGTAAGTTAAGTAATGTTATATCATGATTCTTTGTACAGTTGATAGGAAATGCTAGAGTAGCCAACCATGTATTTTTATGAGTTCTTTTATGCTTAGTTTAAATTGTCTTAGAAATACAATTGAGTGAAGAGTACCAACAAAACTAGAGTATATATATAAAGATTTTATATATATATATATATATATATATATATATATATGTAAGATCCAGCTCTGTAAGTATTTTGTATTTGAGTGTAATACATTTATGGGTATTTAGTTGTTAAAAATGAATGGATTTTCACCTGCACTTTTATAGTCTACCTGTTGTTTTATATATTTCTTTTTGTATTGTATGTGCATGCTTTGATTATATATACAGTACAACATAGTGAGTGTATGGATGGATAGAATTGTGTATACATTGTTTGTGTTGGTTCCTGTTGCAGCCAATGGGTAGGTTAAAAATAAAAACCTGGTTGATGAGATAAGATGGTCTGTGTTTTAAGGTGCCACAAACGGAACTGCAGTGCCATTTTAGGAATGTTAGGTTAGGTTTGTGTCATTCCCTTTTAACCCCTTGTGTATTGGGTCCCGTCTGAGCTCAATAAAATCGTTTGGTTTTAGTCAAATAAGATATTAAAAGTGGCGTCCCTGTAGTGAAGGGGTTAAGTTCTATAGAATGTTGAAAATCCATAATTCTTGGGACTAAACAGTTGTGCTTATTTTGGATTTTTACGGATCTTAGAAATATGGGCCAGTGATTGTGGTTTGGGTATGATGCAACCTTAACAGAATGTTTTGTATACCAAATGCACGTTCAAAATGTTCATTGCTGTTGATAAATGTAAATACAGTTACTGCCTTCATGATATCAGTCACATAGTAAACATTCACTGAGACTCATGCCCAAGTTGTCAGGGATCTTGAATTTGTTAGACCACAGATTTTTTTTTTTTTTTTTTTTTTTTTGGTAGTTTGCAGTGTATAGGAATTTGGACTTTTAATATTGCATAGTACTGTAAAGTACTATAAATGAACCCCCAGACATAACCAAGACCTCTCCTGGGTAATTAGGTTAGGTTTGGTTTGTGTCAAGTCCTTTGAATGTAAATAAACCAACCAGACCTAATCAAGACTACCCCAGGAGTGTTAGGTGAGGTTTGTCATTGTTAAATATGAATAAATAAATGGCTTAGCGGTGTTGTTTGTGGTGGTTCTCTATGAACACGGGCCATCTTAAAGTGACAATATTTTACTGGTAAAGCTTGTTGTGTAGCACAGTTTTTTGTTATCACAAAAGAAATTTTGTGCCATCACTGCTTATTTGCTTCTATATGCTATTGGGATTTATATCACTGTCATCATTTCTGTGTATACAATGTCACGTTTGTGTTTTGCTTGACAGTTCTTCATGGTAAATTGCGCTGGGGGATTACTTTGGACTTTCATTCTACCCACAGGATTCACCACACTCCCCGTCCGCAATGGCGAACCAACAATACTGCCTCAAGTGGAACAACCACCAGTCAAACCTCCTGCGAGCCTTTGACCGCCTGCTGCAGTCAGAGTCCTTCACAGATGTTACCTTGGCCTGTGAGGGCAAGTCACTCAGAGCACACAAGGTTAGTAAAACAGAGTACAGTACAGTACAGTACTATACAAATATACAAGTTTCTGGGGTTGTGGAGGAGCACCACCCGTCCTCTCAAGAGACTACAATGAAAGCTGTCATGATTAATCACCTAATAATTATCATTTTATTTTTTCGTATCCCGTAATTATCTAATCTTTCATTCCCCATCATCACTGTTCACTCTGCACTGACTGATTTTTTCCTTTTGAGCACCAGTTCAGTTTTAGACCTGAATTTTATATCTGAACTGTTTTTGAAGGAGGGAATGAGTCTTTTTTGTCATCTGGTTAAGAGGTGACCTTATACTAATGTAGAGCAACTGATCATGTCTGCACTGCATTGTTTAGCTGATTTAGCCAAGCTGGGTGATATAGTTGAGCTGGGTGATTTAGCCAGACTGTGATATAGCCTTGGCCAAAATAGCCAAAAGGTGAAATAGCCATCAAATCCAACACCAAGATATAGCCAGACAGGGTCTAGTTGATGAGAGAGGACAAGAGCAGCACTGAGTGGACTCTACAATAAGCCATCTAATATGGTCTTTGTGAACTGAGATCCACACAAACATATGGTACCATACTATGATATCTATATCCCTGGATAAATAATTAGTTCATTAACCAAGAATCACCTAGATCAGTACAAAATACCTGTATGTGATTAAATTTTTATAAAGTACTGATAGATCAGTCAATGTTACAAAGACGCGTAAATCGACCAGTGTACAACAGCGGAACTCTGATTGAGGAAAAGGGGGAGTGATGTAATTACAGTAACAAATTTCTTGGCTCCTTATAACTCACCGACTGTAATATTTATAACACATAAGATTCACTTTTCCACGGGTATTAAACAGCATTGCTTACAACATCAGATGACACCCACTGCTCCCAGACACCCTCCCCCCATTGTTATCACCCAGGAATATTTACTGTAGTTTTTTGTTTTAATTTTTCCGGTTGTTTTATCATTTGGAGTGCACTTTTTTTTCAATTTCAATTGTTTATTCCTTGATAGAGGAAGCGGGATCCTAGTGCTGTCACTAGGTACCCCTGTACAATGACACCAGAAGCATCTGGCAAGTGTGACAAGTATATACAGTATACATATTATAAAGGGGCTTACTAAAGCCTAAGGAAGGAAGGAAGGATATTCCTTTAACACATAATCAATATTATTTACAAAATATCTGGCCAGTATGGGGAGGATCATCTTGTCTCCGTCAGGGGGTCGTGGAGTGGTGGTCCAGCAGGCGTCACGGAAGCGTTGTGTGTGGGAACATCTTAGGAGGTAGTGGATAAGGGTGCTGCTGTCGGGTCTTCTGCATAATGCACAAGAGCGTTGCTCAGGGGATGCGGGGATACCAATCTCCCAAGCAAAGTCATACCCAATGATGATACGGGCCGGAGTGCACTTTATGTGCGTTTGTTATATGGAGATATACAGTTAACACACCACCACTCTTTGTTTTTTGTTTAATTAGAGATAATTTAATTGTTGGTGAGTTCTCTCTCTCTATTCTCTTCTACTTTCTCTTCTCTCATTTTTTTAAGTTAATGGCACTTGATTTGCTTGTTGTATCTGTGAAAATTGACTATGTGCATCACAGCCAGTCTGTGTGGACCAACATCTGCCTGATCCAAAGTTTTAAAGAAATCCACATATGTTGTGTTGAGGATGTCACAGTAACGCATTTATACATACAGTATCAGCAATGTGTAGACTATCAAAGTAACTGATTCCCTTAGTATTTACAGCATTGTTTAACATTATTTTCAAGATTTCACCAACTACCAGTTTACTAGGCATTGTTTTGTTCTCTGTTGCTTTGTCATGACCTGTTGGATATACTGTATATTAGGGAAAGGTGCCCCAAGTATGGTGTCAGGCAATTTGTTCAATACAGTACAGTATTATGTTTAAAGTTCTAATTTGTTCAATAGTGCTTAAAGTTTCGATATTTGTCAATTTTTCTCAATGTTTTGTAGATACGGCACACTGGTTGTGAAAATGATCTATACTGTACTATGATTCTGGATTGGAAATAAGAAAGCCAATCAGAGTACCATACGGGCTTCCCCCACTTTCCATAAGGGTTCCATTCCATATAAATATTCGCAAATCGATCCTTTGTAAATGCCAGACATCTGTATTTCACAACTACGACATGCAAAAGGGTTCCGTTCTTAACCCTTCGTTCATATAACGCCTTGACAAGTAGCATTCTCAGCTTTATTGACAGTCTCTGGCCTCAAAAAAAAAATATTATATTCAAACATTTTGTAGGTAAGTTACTGAATGTAGTTCTGAAAATATGTAAGAGAATTTCTAATCTTTTGTGGCCAAAATTAGAAGTATGAAATTTTGAAAAACTGGAGGCATGGAATGTTTGATCTGTCTTGTTTGTCCATCTTCTATCTATCTGTCTATCCATCCATCCTGTCTGGGCATTGAGTGAGTGCAACTACAGTTTTCCATGAATGTTGCTGAAGCATTTGGGCAACAGTTTGGTGGAAAATAGACTTACATATTGTAATACAGTTTTTGTTGGATAATTGTTTTTACTTTTGATAACTGTATTTGGACTGATCAGGGACATACATATTTTACAAGCATCCTACTATTTTATGCTCCTGTTGAAATTGGGATGAACTGTTATATTATGTATGTGTCTGTCCATCAAGTGTTTGGCTTATAAACTAACTTGAATTTTTTTGTGACGTGATGGAGATACTGTAGTGCAGAGGTGTTGAGAGCCTCCTGATTTCATGTTTCTGTTCTACCCTGCTAGGATGAGTGTGCAATTATGAGGAAGGAAGAACTACATACAATATCCCCAGTAGAGGTGGAGGTAGATATAAATACATTCATGTGACAGTCGTGCGGCTCTGTGGAAGTGTATCCCCGAGAAACAAATGTCTTGTGGGGTGAATGGCAACGAGTGGTTTGGAAAGTTGATGAAAGAGAGAAAGAGAGAGAGAGCATTTGTGTGATTTGATTTACATATAATTATACAATTTCAGTACAGTATCCCTCATGTCAAGTGTAGGGTTTTGTGAGAATGTTTGGACTGTTAACTCCTTGTGTGTGGTGTCTTCTCTGAGCTGAATAAAGTCATCCGGCATTATTTAAGTGTAATATTAAAAGTGGAATAACTGTAGTGAATGGGATACTAAGCACTTACTGAGCTTTCAATTTATCAGATTTCACCCATTTTACCTTACCGGTAATTTAGTTTTAACGGGTTTGGATTTAAAGAATGAGATAGATGAGGTAGATTAAAGAGGAAAATGGTGATTCTGTTGGTGTTATTTTCATCTTGGGTAATTGTGTGATCAAATTCTGCTAATAAGAGATTCAGTAATTCCGCTTGAAACCTCCGACCCTTCCTGTCTGTTTCAACTCTTCTTTAGCACAATTCTTCGTATTATTTACCTTCTTTGAGAATTATTTACTCCTTGATCAACATCACCCAAGGAGATAGAAAAGTCAAGATGATCGATTGACAGATTGGGAAATAGTAAATCACATTAAAACTTTTATCATTAATTTCATATGGTTGTTCATTGTCAGTCTTGTAGTTTATATAGTAATTTGGCACAATTCTCAACATCTTTCATACACTTAACATGTCACACAATGTGGGGTCATAATTTACATTTATTTCAGCAGAAGATTCACCAACCTAATGCTAACCTAACCCCTCCAGGTAGTATAACTATATCTAATCATCGGGTGAAATAAGCTAGTGGGTGACTAATCTTCATGTAATAATCAGTTCTTGCGGCTGATTCATCGCATTTAGCCGACCATCACAAAGACACAAACCAACTTATTCTATACTTCTGGCATCACTGTCATCTTCATAGTAGGAAATGGCATCAGTGTAGGCATTAACAAATGTTGACCTTTTTTGTATAAGGTCAAACTTTAATAAAGCAACACATTACAGCCACTGAGCTTGATGGTCGTTGTTGTCTAATAATAGTGTACTTGAATTACCTGTCTGTAAACTTGGTCACTGTGATATGTTTGGTGGACGAGAAGTGACTGACACATGGCACACAGCATTCGTATTACAGTACAGTATAAACAGTGTGTGTATGGTACTGTATATGCTGTACTGTATAGTATGTAGTGTGTTATGTATGATTAATGACTGTTCTGTATGGTGTATGATATATATTGTGTTGTATGACTATGGTTATACAATAATACAACACTACAATAACCAGATAAATTAGTATTCAGCTGATGAAACACAGTCACCTCGCCCAGAAGAAAGAAACTGGTGGTGGTGAAACTTACACAACCTCGGGCAAGCTTCATTTTCTTCCCTCTTGTGTTTGAAGCCCAGGAATCCCTCAGCTTAATGATGAATGAGCTGCTGTGGTAAAGCTTATAATATAACAGTTGGTTTAAGAGCAGTAATGATTATATATATGAGAGATGTGTTATTATAGATCTGAGAGATATATGTGATTATAGCTATACTGTTCCTGTATCTATATATGACAAGACACCCGGTAATATAGATTGAACCTCACGATGATAGAATTTTTAAGTACGTATATATCACCACTAAACTAATGAAATAATTTAAGCTCAACAAAATACTGTATATAACTAACTAACTTTATTACCATATCACTTGAGTCCAAGTTTACGGGTGTCTGCTTATAAATTTTTTCTCATTTACACACACACATATACACACACACTCTCTCAGTTAACCTTGACATGAGCAGCAAGTGTAATGAACCTTGTTGGCCAGAATACTATACTGTGGTTTGGGAATTACAGTAATTTAAATAATCAGAAGAAAGAAATTGTATTGGAATCAGAATAAACTGTATGTACTGTATATCACTGTCAAGCAACCCATCCCACTTGTTGTGTTGCTGTTCAGTACAATGGATTTCTTTACTGCAGAGATTGTACATATATGTTAAAGATGATGTCATTTTTCTGTTGTACAGGATGTCTCATAGGTCACTCATCATGAGAAAATTATATCTCTTTCTCTCACTTTTTTTTTTTTGGTGTAGGAATAATACAAAAATTAACACTAAGTAAAAGAGTTAGTTTAATATTCATGTACGGAGAGCCAGATACTACGCACCAATCACATGCAAGAGAGTGTACAGTAAGAGACAAGGCATATGGGTGTGTCTAGCATCTGGTTCTCCATACGTGAATATTTTACCTCGGCGTCAATTTCTCCGTCACCTTCGTTGATTTGTTATGATTCTCTCACCTGAAAAAAAAGAGGCCATTAATTTTCCTATGGTGGGTGACCCATGAGACATTAAAGATTGCACATGTATAAATAAGCCAACATGATGTTAATTACAAGTTACAACACCATAAAACCAAGGCTTTAATTCTCTCTCTCTCTCAAGCTCCAGTTTGTGAGATGATTTTGAATTAGCAAACACCCTTTTATTATTATTATTATTAGTAGTATTTTTATTTTTTTAATAAAATCGCCTCCAGCCTCCCCCAATAGCCACACCTTCGCCGCCATTTTATTACCTTAAATTAAATATTATTACTACTACTATTAATATTATTACTATAACCCCCGTACTATTATTATTATTGAAGTGAAAGAGATGTTTCACAACACCCTTTATTTTGTCATTATAAATTACTATAGTGACAGAGATAAAGAGTTACTGAAGGAAGAGAGATGACCCGTAGCCATAATCCACAATGCCGTGGGTATCATGTCAAGCAGATATGGTAATAGTACTGTACTCCTTCACACTACTTTAGTTGGTGGAGATTTAGTGTATAAAGGGAAGTGGTGGAGATAGCTAAAGAGAATGGATTATTGGACCAAAAATTATATAATATGAGAGTGTAATGTGTGTGTGTGTGTGTGTGTGTGTGTGTGTGTGTGCGTGTGTGTGTGTGTGTGCGTGTGTGTGCGTGTGTGTGTGCGTGCGTGCGTGCGTGCGTGCGTGCGTGCTACTTTTATTTAATATATGCATTAATGAGAGGTTCAGGTAAATATTGCTGAAAGACATTCAGTACAGGGTCTCCATATATTAGGATCTGACCCATTTCAGAATTTAATAACCTTAAAAATATTACAGGTAGAACATTCACCTGTTTTATTAACGCTTTTGATGTTGTTAATTTTTAGACAGGGTCAGATAATTTATGAACACCCTAGGCTGTATACTGATAGATATTTTATGGCCTTCCCATTCATAATTTATCGTACCGTCGAATTTTACTCTTCATAGCAGCAGTTATATATAATGGGCTAAATATAACAGTTATATAATATTTTGTTATATATTAATGATTCCTTTTATCTAAATTGATCATAGAGTTTTAGTGAAAGTGATTTTTATATTGGTCATTTTATATGAGATGCACTCATGCTATTTTCGTTTTGATGCTTTTCACCTATAATTGGCAGCTAAGGATTCCCTATTCCATTCCATATTTGCAAAAATGGAACACAAAGAACATGGAGATTACACCAATGGTGGCTGCTGTCTGTAAAGCTAACTTACACTGATGATGGCCGGCGTTTAATCCCATGTGTACCGGTTTACGGCTGATCTGAAAAGAATCGTCTGGCATTTGGTTAAATAAACTACTGTATTAAAAATGGCATCCTGATAGTGAAGTAGTTAAGGTTTAAGGCCCTTTTTATGGAACTATTTGCTCTGATTGAGAAGCTTGATTCACCGAGTGACAAATCTCTCCTCAGACTGTGGTGGTGGGGAGTCTTTATGGGTTGCATGTGTGTGTTTTAAAGTGTTTACCATATTCAGTAGTTGTGGTGCTTTGGTTGGCTCTCTCTACTCAAGACCTTCATCTCTCATAGTTGGTTTGAAATCTTGCAGGTTACTTGCTGATTGACCCTTAGCCACTGTATATAGATAGATGCAGTATTTATTCAGTGATATAATTATACACATTTACAGTTGGTTCAGCATATATATAAAAAATGCAGGTGCCGTATACAGTTCAGCATGCACATAGACAAAGTAGGTATATATAGTGTACGTGACAGTCCAGGTATACAATTAACAGTTTATCTTGACAGTGCGAGTATACCCGGTAATGTCCAAACAATGGTAAACAGTAAAGCAATTCGACCAATGATAGCCAACCAAACCATTATGTATTCCAGTGATGTCCGTTACAAAGAATAAAAAACCACAGTGTAGTATCTCACTTTATGACCAAGGGAAAGAGACAAATGGTCTGGAAACACTTATTGATGGGTTCTGTGTCAGCAAGAAAATGTGTGAACTGATGGTTGGGATCCAGGCTTATGACTGAGTAGTTGGGAGTCAATCCAACTGACACTGAGGTTCATCCTGGTGTACCTGGTGGTTCGTTGAGTCAAGATAGGAACTTTCTTCATAAACCCTGATATGACTGGATGAGTTGGTCTTTATACAGCATTTAACACAAGCCTAACTGAATAGAGTTGCTGCTTCTAGAATGTAGGACAAAAGGGTGAACTGTCTCTAGAATGCAGGATGAAAAGGGGAGGGGGATCAGTATATTTCAGATCACTCTTCTCTTACTCTCATCCATCAAATTGTTTATCTTTGTTACTGAATTTGTTGTTGGGTGAAAACAGATCCTGAATTACCAGGTGGTGGTAAAAGTTATCGTTATTAACAACCCTGCCATTCCTCTTGGCTTGTCACTTGTCAATATTGTGGTATTTTATTTAGATAATATATATACAGGTTGACAACCCTTTATCCGAAATTCCGAAAACCGAAAAGCTCTGAAAACCGAAAGTTTTTTTGTGGAGCAATATATATATTTTTTTTAACAGGGATTAGCCCACCCAGGCATAGATCACTGACCCACATCGGGGCCTAGGGGGCGAAGATGTAATAGTAATACTAATTATAATAATAATAATTATTCATAGTAAATAAAATTTTTAATAAAAAAATACACCAAAATAAAATAATAATAATAATAAAATATAATAATAAAATTTATAATAAATAATAACAATAATACTGTATTAAAAAAATAATAATAAAGAAATACAAGAATGAAAAAAGATAAAAAGTGAGAAACACGACCTAGACCTATGAATTATTATTATTATTATTATTATTAGTATTAGTATTATATGTTTGCCCCCTAGGCCCCAATGTGGATCAGTGACTTGTGCCCGGGTGGGCTATAACAAAAAAAAAAAAAAAATAAAAAATAAAAAAAATACCCTAACCATTATGATAACCGAAAAATTCCGAAATCCGAAATGCCTCTGGCCCCAAGGATTTCGGATAAGGGATTGTCAACCTGTATTTATTTATGTAATGTATGTGTGTTTGTAAGTCAAATCAGGTATATCATGGATGTATCTTTCAGGTGGTGTTGTCAGCATGCAGCAGTTACTTCGAGCAATTATTTGAGGAGCATCCAGACAAGTCCCCGATCATTATCTTGAAGGATATGAAGTTCACCCACGTGTCTCAGCTGGTCAACTTCATGTATCGTGGAGAAATAAACATAACTCAGGTAGCTACTGCAATAATTAATAAATTGTGTACTGTATATACTGTATGTGTTTATGTATAGTAAGGCTATAGAAATCATTTTGCATGTACGGGTAATTGAATATACTGTTATGATATAAATGGTTCTTGAGACATGTCTCTTGTTGTTGATATAAATTGTGTGGCCTGGAGGTTCTCTTGTCTTGGCTATCACCTCGGAGGGGAGTTGTGTGAATAAAGTGAGGCTCTGTAGATAAATTACTCCATTTGACTCTACTCTGGGTGTGAGGAGAGACTGGGTGGGTTTGCAACAATTATTTATGCAAGTGATGAAAAGAATACAGTTATTAATGGAATGAATAAAGTCACATAATAAGACATTCAAGATGACTTTATTAATTTACTTTGTTGATACAGTACTTTACATTAGGTACACAATTACATAGTTAAAGAATTCTGACTTATCAGAATGAGGTGGACTTTGTTGGATTACAGAACAGGTTTGTAGCTTAGAATGGGTCATGTTGGATGTGAATGGGTAGATGCTAAATTATTGTGAACTGCTTTGATTAGCGAGGTCATAACTGATTAGCATGTTGTATTAAGTTGAGGAAACAGCTAGAAATAAAGGGTTAAATTCTAAAAGTGGAATGAACCAGTTGGGTTTGTTATGTAACTGTAGAACTGAGCAGGAAAAATGATGTAGAGCAGATGGGAGAGAATTACACATTGCACCCAACCCTAAAAATGGTGTATAATAATTTTGATTTACTTATGCTGTGAGGGAAGGAAGGATGATGTATAATGGTATAATGAAGATACAGTATTATAACATGTTGGTGTATTTCAGGACATGTTATCTGGTCTGCTGAAAACTGCAGAAACCCTAAAAGTGAAAGGCTTGGCAGAAGTGTCGGGCGACCAGCCAGTGGCAGCACAGGTCGCCAACCCAATTCCGCCCATCTTACGGCTTGGAGTGAGTGTCCGAGTGTTGTGTGTCAGCTGTGTAATCCTGCTCAGTTAATTCCAGCTCTGATTCACTGATTAAATGACTCTCTGCATGACCTTCTTTTACCAACTGACTAACTCACTGATTGAATGACCCCAATAAGACTTCTCTGCCTGACCTGTGACCGACTGAATGTCTCCGATAAAGACTCTACCCGACTTCATGTGACCAGCCTGTACTTGTCCTGCTTTTGACAGTGATTGGTCACCTTTGTTTATATGTTAAAAAATATATGTATATACATCATGCATGTATAGTACTTTGCTCCCAGATAGAAGAAGCAGCTGATTCATAAAGAGATTTTTTTAAACTGATCAAAAAATTTCTCATGTCGTTGACTCAAAATTAGAGCTTATTGGATATCAGAGTTACAGACTGTTTTATATTAAGATGGCAATACAGTATACCTATTATATGAATCACTACCAGTTTGTGATACTGTGTATGGAGTTATAAAAGGGGTTTCAATACTTCCATTTTGAATCTGATGGTACAGCTAATTGATTCTTGCAATAATAGTCTGGTATTAGGAGAAAGGTCTGCCATGTTTTTTGGAGACATTGCCACAAATATTATTGTTATTAGTAATGTTCATGTAATATAGATTCTATAATACAATTTTGGAATGACAAGTAATTTAAAATGATGATAATTATTTAAAACTTTATATTTTTTATTCTTGTTTATCATATTTTATCCCCTTCACCATTAGTCGTCACTTATGATATTTTATTTTGGGTAACAGAAGACGATTTTATTCAGCACAGTACAGTAGCCAATTGGTAAAGAGGAAAGAAAGTGTGTGAGGGTTTAGTTTTTGTGATATACGTACAGGAGTAAAAAGTCTGTATTAATACATGAGAAAAATCATTAACCTGTATGATGTTATAGTTGTATGATAGAGCAAGTTACCCAGGTGAGAAGGATGGTAGTTAGCTTACCTCTGAGGTGTATTCTGCCTCATCTACTACTGTACTGTGTGTGCTGTATTTGTGTGTGTATATGTGCAATGTTCATGTATTTGTGTGTGTATATGTATTTGTGTGTATACAGTATATGTATTTGTGGTTGTAAATATGCAGTGTTTATGTATTTTGTGTGTGTATGTATATTTCTCTCCTGATGATTAGAGAGAGAGAGAGAGAGAGAGAGAGACAGACAGACAGACAGACAGACAGACAGACAGACAGAGACATTCCTATCTCATGATTAGGGACAAACAGACAGATTCGTCTCTCCTCATGATTAGAGACAGACGAAGACAAATTCCTCTCTCCCCATCATCAGTATATACAATTAAGGCAGAAAGGTTAAGTTTAATTACCATTACTGAATATCATACATTTGCTTGCTTCTAATTTGAGTTAATTACGTGGTTAAGAAATTTCAGGGAATTCTTAGAATTACGGGTAAATACTTCTTTCTTTCTTTTTCTTTTCTTTCTTTTTCTTTTCATTCTTTCTTTCTTCCTTTCAAAATGGGAGGGAAAAGTCTCTCCTTCAGAATGTCACTTCTTTCAATTTATCTTTTATCCTTGATTTATGTGTCATATTCCCCAAGTATATTTGAGAAAGATAGACAAACACTTGACAGGACCACCACCCCCTCCCAGTACCTGTAGTAGCTGAAGGAGATCACAGTAACACACAGAGAGATTCCCAGATGTTGTGTTAGCAGGAGGCAACACTGTGGGTACTTCCATGAGCATGTGTGTGGATAGTGATTCCTCAGACGTTGGTTCGTCGTCAGTGAGTATGTGTGTGGATAATGGTTCCTCAGAAGTGAGTATGTCCGTGAGTGTGTGTGTGTGTGTGTGTGTGTCGGTATAATAGTTCTACAAATGGATTTCAAGATGTTGGATTAGCAGGAGACAGCACAACACTGTGGGTACGTTCAAGAGTGTTTTGTGTATAGTAGTTCCTCAGCAGCTCAGTGACGATGCTGGTAAGTTCCCCACCTCCCCCCCCCCTCTATGGTACACAATTTTTACAGGTTGTCCCCCATGTCCCCCGTTCTCAAGAAATGTTACAACATTCCCGGCAGGCTACACTCCCCCAAATGGTGGTGCCGCCCAACAGCTCTCCACTGACCACTGCCCTAAACGCCCCCATGGTTACGCCTAATGCAGTCACCCCTCTCTCTGCACTGCTCAACCCATATGTAAGTAAAAAGGATTTATTATGTTCCAACTGTTGGTCTGTCCATATCAGTATGCATGTAGTCCAGCTGTCTTCCACTGCTTGCCTGAATAAAGGTGGACATGCGGTCTTTCATCCATGTACCACCGGCCACAAGTAACTGTGGTAAGACCCTTCTCACTCACTTATTCTTCTCTCCTTTGTGGTAGAATTTGAAGTACTTTGATATCCATTATTTAGTTAAAAAGATTAAGGAAAAATAATGTGAACATTTCAACCCCCCCCCCACACACACACAAAAAAAAAAATCAGGGATGTAAGCCATTCTGCATATAGTGTATGTATTCTTTTCTGACACATTTATGTGTGTGTGTGTGTAAGTCATCCTTTGCTTAGTTACATGTTGCAATGTTGAGTGTCACTATCTTGTGTCGTTGCTTCTTTATGCTTCTTGCTACTGTAAAGAATATATTTAAGATGTAATTTTGTTTTTCTTCAGCCTCTTCCCATTATAACACAGGTGGGTAGAGACCAAGAAAACACAAGCCTCTCTTTTTCTTACTGGTAACTTGAAGGAAAGTTGGGGCGATGGAAAGTTCTCTTGAGGTGGCAGACGTTGCATGTTTTGGTCGGTAAAGAGGAGGATGTACAGAGGTTGGGTAGAGGGAGGCTGCCAACATTGTGGGAAGGGGTAGGTTTGAACAATACAGGAGACAATGATGGTAGAGTGTGTGTGTGTGTGTGTGTCAAGGAGATTTATAGTACTGTATAGTGATAGGCCAACCTGGAGGTCCTTCTGTTACTACCTCTCAATAGGGAGAGAGGCCAGTGCTTAATTTGTGTCAAAACACCCTAGAATGGCACTCTGGCACTTTGATTTTACAGGAGTAAGTTTTAATGTAATCAATTGATATTGCTATCAGTACTGTGTTTATAATATCTTCACAATGTGACCCTACAGGCCTTGGCAACACTAAGTTCCTTGCCAGTTCCACAGGCTCAGTTGGCATCTGTCTCTGGCTCACTAGAGTTCCACCACAACTTCTTATTTTACAATATAAGCTGTGAGTGAGGCATTGCTGATGAGATGAAATTATATAACTTGGAAGTGTGGTAAGATTGACCTATAATTTATTTAGAGGGAGTGATTATAGACCCTGGAATATGACAAAAATAAATAGGTTGATAGCGAGGGGTTGTCTTACCTGTACAAGTTGTGACTAAGGTGAGGGAATTTGCAGGAATAATTTGTGATCATGATGGATTGAGGTTTTAGAACTATCTTTTGTAAGATGGAGTACAGCGATCATTTCTCACATTATTTTTGTTGTTGTTTTATCAATACAATTTAATGGAAGTGTTGTCGACCGTATTGAATATCTAAGAAACACAGACTTTATGAATAATTTTCCCACAGGCTATCGGCCTCGATGAACGTCGAGTGAACCTCCTGAAGCGCATGAGCCAGGAACACGAGTGTCCCGATGTTGGAAACGGAGGAGGCAGCAGCAGCGGAGGAGGCGGCGGCATTGCAGGAAGCCACGAGCCGCCGTTAAAGATGGCCCGCCACGAACAGGAAGAGCAAGAGTCTTCCCAGATCCCTCATGGTTCCATTTTTGTGAACACCCCTGACAAAATTTCAGCCAATTCCATGCAGAATGTTCTTACGCCCATACCACACGAGCTGACCGTTAACGCACGGCAAGAACTGCGTGAGTTACCCCTTGACTTTTATCTCGCAAATTATAGTCCTTTCTGTTTTTCCCTGATATTATCCATAAATGTGATTTAATTATTCAACACAATACCGTCACCTTGTGTAATGGAGCTAATTAACTAGTGACATCTGTACTTAATCAACTCCCATTAAAACTGGGTCTCTGTTTGCAGCTCTGGTTCACAATTGTGCAACTCTCAATGACCACCAGACATACTATACTGTACGTGATCATAATATAACAATACCTAGTCACCTCTCTGAGAACACAGTCATGGTGATCTGCTTCATTAAAGATAATTATGGTGCCTAGATTTCTGTAAATGATCATCTAATGATATCTATTTACACCTAGGGGAAAAAAAGTCCTGCTGGGGTATGTTTTTTGTTCTCTAATGCCTGTAATGCAAAATATATTATAGTTTCCATACTTTGTGGTCAAGAGGATGTGATGATACTAAATTATTTCTCCTCAGACTAGGTAACAGTGCATAAATACAGGTCATGTTCAGTTTTATATTCACCTCAGGTTCTACAGCATTGTAAAAACTACAATCACCATATTTCATGTGTAGATCAGCTAATGACACCTTTTTCTTTCCTTATAGACACCATTTGATGAAACATTTACACCCACATCTGACTCTGTTCTTCACACATCTCTTTATTATATTTATTGTTTGGAAAATTTCACTACCAGATAAAGATACATTCTGTTTTTGTTTGTCCATAACTAATTGGTGTTGGACAGGTCACTAGTGGCTCATTCAGGAGTAGTTGTGCCAGTTGTTCGAAAATGTTTTGCTGGCACACAATACATTTCCAATAGTATTTGTTGCTAGTTAAATATTGAAAATATTTTTAGCCCTACAGACAGTAAGGCTCTCTAACACTGTCATTTCATTTGCCCTGCATAAATTAGCATCAGCCCACTCATGCCATGGAGACTTAAGTGTTATAATCAGTAACATAGCTCATACCTCACACACTGATATCTAATCTTCTGCTAAGTCACTTTACCAGTCACACAAATAGAAACCAATTCAGAACTCTTGTCCTCACACCTGCCTCCCATGGTACTTAAGGTCTTATAGTGCACTTGGCCTTGAGATGCACTGTCCGATTCAAAATTTTAGGGATGGGTTAAGATTTTCAGAAAGTTTCATATCTCGGTCATAGATATATTTATTAACGTATTTCTCCTTTGATTGGTTGAATTTTACCTCAACCAATAATAGATACTCCATGCATAGATCCCCCTCTTAGTCTCTCTGTATCACTATGTACAGTTCAACCTTCTGCTCACCAGCTCTCCACATCATCTCCAGTCCCCCATCACTTGAGTAGTTATGAATATCTTTCAATTTGTAATGTGTTTTCTCCCCCTATTAACTGACCATCTTTTAGCACATATTATTGTGATTGTTATCGATTTATTTTCATTTACTTGTGATATTTTGTATTTCCTCCATAGTTCTTCTACTTCCTTCTCATTGTCAATATATGCATTTATATCCTTCATCACTGTAGCTTACACTGAAGCTGTCAAGGTAAATAGTTAGGTCTGGCTAAAGCCTCTCTCTTATCTCGCTCTTTTTTTCTCACTCCGCACTCCAATACATAAACATTACCAGCACTGTAATCCGAGTTTTCCTACCTTTAGTGTGGTTCATGATAATTTGGAACTGATCTGTTAATATTCTCTCTCAGAATGTCACATTTCATGACTTGGCACCACCATCTTTCAAACACTCCTGACAAGTAAAGGATTTTGCATATTGGTTTCAGATCCAATTTTCAATAGCAGGTGTCTTTTCAGTCTTGCCAGAAACACATAACAAAGGTGTGTTTTATTTTGCAGAGCATCATAAAGTGTAAGAACACAATTTCAAGTATTTTTGTTGATTAATGCTGTTATATGGTAATTTACTTTTACAATATTAGTGGATCGTAGGGGAGACTTTCACACTACTAGTCTCACACAGTCCCCACTCATACTCGGCATCCAGCTTCATCGTAATATCGGTTTTAAAATGTACACTTTCTACCACATACCAAACCTATCCTGGTAACCTCATGGCTGTGGGAGAGTAAGGTGCTTACTCCGCTGCTGATTTATGCTTACAAGTCATTATGTGTAATTCTTATTTTTTCTTTACAGCTGACTTCTTGAAATCATTCACCATCTTTAAACTGAACGACTATTTGGGATTCCGGACCCGGCAGCAGTTTTGGGAAGAGTCCTCCGTCCGTCGCATTCTTGAAGGAATCAAGAACAAAGAGATAGACATGAAGAGCGCTGCTGAGCTCCTGGGGGTGTCTTATGGAACTCTGTATGGACGATATCGTGAGGTGTTTGGCTATCTCAAACATGCGTGGGTCAGTTCAATTTGTAGTTTGGGCATAGTAGAGAAAGTTGTGTTTATCTATAGTCTTTTCATTATGGAAATGTCACACTTGCCCCACACAGCAATATGATGTATGGTTATGTAATTGGATAATGTGGCAGTATCTTCTGCGGAAGAAAATTTTAGTTAATCTACAGCTTTCTTTGATTTTTTTCTAGCTGGCCAATCATAAGTTAATACGAGAGATAGAGGGCGGGGCTATTTCACATTAACGTAATATCAAATAGGTTGAAATGCCAAGATTTTCTGTGTATGTTAGTTTGTGTCCTTTGTATATTCTGTTGTTTTCCATCTAAAAGGCTCACATATTTATGTATGCAGGGGTTAATCCTCAAAGGAGTTTAGTATTAGGAAGAATTGTGTTAAGGCTGCATCACTAGACTTACAGAGTTAGACATTTGATGCATTCATTTTATGGTGTAAAATACTGTACAGGGAATGGCTTAATGCTTATTGGTAAACGTTGTGAAAACAATTTGATATATGAACTTCACCTTTGAAAGGAGATTCTCAAAAGAGTTAAAGGTGCTTAGCTTGTCATATGGAATTGATGTTGACGCTTAGCTTTTATCGCCTCATTTTGTTCTAGGTCAACAAGCAAGGACGTAGTGGAAACTCGGCACAAAAGGAACGCTCCATATGGGAAGAATCACGAGCCCAGGAACTGATCCAGCGCGTTCTGAATAAAGAACTCTCACTTACGGCAGCAGCAGTCAGACTCGGCGTGGACACCAACACCTTCTTCGCTCACCTCACTGACAACGGGAAGAACAAGAGTCGTGTGGCACTTCTCCTCGGCACAGACCCAAACAACTCTGACAGCTCCTTCAACATGAATGTAACAACTAACCACAGTGAAGATTCAAATTCTGCCAATGCATCCTCGGTTGATCTTGTTGGCGAAGACTCCAACCCACCCGACAATGGCGGTGGACAAGCTAGCGACGACAGTAACATGGAGACATTGGTGGTGAACGCACGAGTCGAGACCGAGGTCAACGGGGAGAAGGAAGATAACGAAGAGCCCGAAATTATTGATGACACCAATAACGAGACAAGATCCTCGGAACAACAAATTCTGGGATTGCAGGAAATGAGTACAGATGAAACCGTAGAAGGCCAGGTGGCAGAAGAACAGCAGGAGACTTCGCAACAATCTATGGAAACCTTCCAGTCTATAGTTGAGGATGATTCCAACAATTTATATGCTGATGCCTCCTAGATTATACACTTGAGCATTTTATCTTCTGACTCGAAGTATCCTGGCACAAATATCTTTTAATAGTTTCTCTTGATTTAAAAGTATTTTATGTGTGAGCTTTAAGGTCAAATTATGGTTATAGAGCAAGTGTACAGCTCAACAGTTTCAAACTTACATTGTGTTGGATGGAGTGTTAAGTAGCTTCCTCGCCATCGCGTATAAAGATGTGTAAAGCAGAGGGCTATTGGACTTCCGTGTTGGAATTTTGCATGACAAAAATGTAAGGCATTTTCATAACCAAACGTGATAACTGAAGAAATGGGGACGAAGTGTGGGACGTGATCAAAAGTGAGTGTTTTTGATTAGGTGTATTGCTACTAGTTTGTTGAGTGTTTCTTGAAGTGTTTGATTGTTGGCAAGTAATTTAGAATAGATTAATGCAAAGTTTATGTATTGATTTTTTAAGGTTGGGCTCAAAATGTGACAAGATGAAGCTCAGAGGCATTATCCTCACGCCATAGAGTTTGTTATGGTACAAGTAATGGTACAAGGCTAGGAGACTCCTGAAGGGATTTTATGTTTTTATCTATTAGAACTTCAGTAGTTTTACATCAGAACTTACTAGAAAACTTGGTCCTGTGGTCCTATCTCTTAGCAACTTATGAATTGGTGGACGACACAAGTGTACGTACAGTCAGGCCCAAAGCATTGTCTTACTTACGGGGGTAATTCAGTGTGAACAAGTGTTGGAGTGCCATGATTTTCATTAACAGGTCATAGTGTATAAGATGATGGTCACTGGAAGTTGTGCAATTCAGTAGCAGAGTGATGATGCTCTGAAAGACTTGTGGAATGACTCACAGTATTTGACCTGGTATTCTGTAATCATGTTACGTGCATTCTCAAGGTTTTGTTATTTTATTGGACCCTCGTATAAGATGTGACTGGGGCTCTCTTTGGAGTCTTCACGTACTAAGGAAAGTATTTCATGACACAACAATTAGCAACTTCTATATTTTGTGCTTATTTCCATAAAGTCTGCATTTGACGTGATGCTGCTAGCATTGAGCAGCTAATGCAACATGCCTTTGACAAGTAGGTCAAAGATTGTGGCAATTTTAACTTAATATACGAACCCCAAAGATTTGCCTAAAGGATGGATGTCCTAACGGGCCATGTAATGGTTCGTGCCTTATGTAAGGAAGCCAATTATTATATTAACAGAAAGATTTTTATACCAGTGTTTACTATTGCTGGTAACTATAATAGGATATTTTTCAAACTTGTAGAATGTAAAATATAATGTGGTAGATAGATAGCCAACCAGAGAGAGAGAAAAGCAACTATGGATGATGTGTCTTGTTTTATTAGTACTTTACTGTAGTGTTTAATAGTATCCTTAATGGTTCTTTGCTGTTCAAAGGTTTAAACATATCTATACCCATCCAAATTTTTCTTGAAAATGATGTTTGTTCTAATACAATTGGCAGAACTGCAAATACTGATATTTATTCAATTTAACTAGCACATCTGCTATTAATATTGTTTTAATTAATAGGCAGGACTGCTATTAATGATGTTTAATCTATTTGATTGGCAGTACTGCTTTTAAGCTTGACCTCTTTATTTTTCCAGTGTTAAGTGGGACTAAATCATGTTACACAAGTTGACTGAACCTGTACTTTTTTTGTACCGTATATTAATTTATTCTTTGAGAACTGCCATCATGTTACTGCAGGTTCTCCATGTTTTAAAACACACACACACACAAAGTATGGAAAGATGTCAGTGGGGGCAAATACCAGCAGCTACTACCATGGCCGGAGTTGTCTTGTTATATAAAGTACAGTAATCACCATGGTACACGTAGCATAATTTGTAATTACTGAACTTACCATATGTTGTCCTGAATAGCATATTTTTATTGGGAATTAAGTGTTTTACTGATCCCATAGTTTAAGACTTATTATCAAGCATGGGTTTGCATGTATGGTGCACTGTGTTTGTAGTTGTGCATTCATATTTGTTGTTTATATGTTGACTTGTATTGATTGTTACCACTTTGCTACTTCAGCTCATGAGACCAAGGAATCCTTTTTAATTCTTCACTTTTGTAGGAATTTTGCTGCTGCATCACAAGCTGACAGTGTAGCTCACATTCCAAGCAAGAGGGGTATAAATGCACTCATTTGGATCATGTCTTAACATTGGTCATGGGGAAAATTTCCCATCAATAGATACTTTCCAAAGACAAACAAACTGTAACAAGGCTAATGTGAGATATTTGGCAGACCAGATGCATAATGCTGAAGCTCTACTGATCAGTTAGTTGATAGGATATAAGGAGTCTTATTCTACTTGGTATCTTTTAACTGTAACTAACTAACAGTTCAGTAATAGGTGTTATTATTTAAAGCTGGTCTTAAAGGTTCTGTGTGGTTTCAAAACTCCTGTTCACAATTCATGTTCCTGTTTAATGAGTAAAATTAAGAACTTATTTTTGCACTCACATATGGAGGTGTATGTGTGTGTGTATGAGTATCTCCATGCCTGGTTCACGATCTGTACGCGTGTGCACACACGATCACTTATGCAAAAGGCGACGCCTCGTCTTGTGCCACACACAAATGAACTTATAAATTTAAACAAACAGCATTTCTTTATTCCAAAGAAATCAAAAAGGTGTAAAAATTAATGTGTATTGCCCCTTATTGATTTTCATTTTTATGTAGATTTTATTATTTGGTTTAATTGCTCATTATGAATAGCTTGTTTGATGTTAGACATATTCTTTGGAGCAGATTTATTGTCAATAGTTATTGGTATGCTCTGAACGTGTGATGCTTTGCCAGTTAAATAACAAATAACCAGCACACAGGAGTTGGCAACCGTGTGTTAGCTTGCGTTGGATTATTTTGCATTAGAGATTTTTTTATTATTATTATTGTATGTTAGAAGATTGTATACAGATATCCAGACAGCTAAGTGAGAGCTTATAGATGGCTAGTCCACTGTGACGTAGACAAAGAGAATTGTTCGGTGAATCAAGCTCGTTTGAGGTGTTAGTGTATAGTGTTGGGTGGTGTACTGGGTATAAGACATGTACAAGTCCACTAGAATGATTGGGTAGAATATTTTTTTTTCTTTTTTTTTTCTTTTTCTTTTTTTTTGTCCCAATGATCATTTAACTCTGTACTTCTTTGTAGGATATAGTTAATGTTTGCAATTGTTTTGTATCCAGACTTTTCTCTCCCATGTTGAAAGGTTCGTTGTGATGCCTGGTACGTACAAATGGAAACAAATAAATTTATCTCGGTATTTGAACATGTTTTTAGTGTTGTCGATCAGTTTCCAACATTCGATTTTGTTTTTCATGTGTGAGTTATGTATTAAGGTAATTTAGTGACAGGTAAAATTACACAATGTTCTGTTTTGTGAATTGGTTACTATTGAATTACCTTATGTAAGTTAGTAGTTATAATCCATGTAATATTTGTTTGGAGGCAACCCATGTACATTCACTCCAGAAAGTATCTTCACGATTTTGTGCGAGGCAATATCACACAACGGACGAAGGGTTTTGGCGACCCTACCGAGAATACAGGAGTCGCGGTGTTCATTTTTAAATTGGTCGGACCCGTCCGTAAAGATGCCTTTTGGAGCAAATTTACTGTACTGTATCAGAAACCCTAGGTTATTTACTTGACGAAACATGTACTGGATAGAAATTTTGAAGCCTTTCTGCCTCCCTCCTCCTTTTCCTTCATAATTTTGTACTGTAATACAAAAGTAGATCAAATGAGGAGTTTGTTAAAAGAAAGTTTGGTTGAATATACAGTGAGTTCTGCTATAATGCGTGTTTTGATAACGCGAATTTGCTCTTAACGCGATTTATGAATAGAGGAACGATATTTGTATAACGCAAAAGCTTGTTTGCTGTAACACGATTTTTGCTTACTACAGTCGGCCCTTAACATACGCGGGGGTTAGGTAACAGAGATACCCGTGAATGTTAAAAATCCTTGTACCTTTGCTGTCCCCCCCCCCCTCCTAATAAAAAACCCTGGCCCCCCCATGTCCTTATTTACCGTATATACCTGTGTGTAGTTCGAGTTTTTAAGACCAAATTATTTGGCAAAAAATTGGGGGTCGACCTCTAAACGGGTAATAGTTTCGTTAGGTTGAAAAATATTTACCAGTAACTACCAGTAAACAATGGAAATGACGCACCAACGCACCACCAGCTGTGAGTGTCGGTATAGTTGCCAGGGCAGATCTCTTGCGTCATCATAGCAAGCCCAAACTAGCCAAATGCATTATATGGTATGCACAGGACGATGTAAAACAAAGTATTCATTTTTTAAAGTTTATTTATAGACACTGTACATAAATTTTTGTTCATTACATTCGAAACATCAATCTTTGTAAATTGAATTTGAAACAAAAGAAAAATACGATACCGTATTTTCATTAAAATATTACATCACAAGTATATTATACCTTAACTGTGACTGAATGAATATATTCTCAGAAATAAATATGGAAATGTAATATTTTGGCTGAAATGACGTACATATTACAGTGGAAAGTGGGATAAAATCATGACGAAAACAATGACTTTCGCTTTCTTTCGTTGTTCAAAAGATGTTACCGTAATCGCTTTTCGAATGGTTTTCAGTTAAAAAAATGTTGCATCACAAGTGAATTAGGATAGAATATTATTGTAATAAACAGTTTTTTAACTGAAAACCATTCGAAAAGCGATTACGGTAACATCTTTTGAACGAAAGAAAGCGAAAGTCATTGCTTTCTTCATTTTCCACTGTGATACGTACGTCATTTCAGCAGAAATATTACATTTCCATATTCTCAGAAATAAATAGTAGTTTTACTGAAACGTAATGTATTTCAATGTAAATTAGGATAAACTACATGAAAACAAAAGACTTTACCTAACCTTCCGATGTTCAAGATATGTTACTCGTTTTTTTTAATAGTTTTCGGTTAAAATACTGTTATATTAGTGATATTCTATTCATACTGTGCTTGATATAAGACATTCACGGAAATGTAATATTTTTGCAACTACAATGCTGATGTCAACACAAGCGTGGTTACAGCGAGACTGACTGAGTGAGGGAGAGCTATGCGTGTGTGTGTGAGGTTGCGGGAGCGGGCGGTGTCCCGTGTTCGGTGCTGCACGCAAGTTGAATGGCGCGCGATTTGAATGTACTGCAATTACTTCAATGTACAGAATATTCCTCCGGCGGGGCAATCCGCGTATTTGCAAATCCGTGTATGCTAAACCCGCGTATGTTAAGGGCTGACTGTATTTCTCCAATTTTGTGGTATTAACTGTGAATATGGTAAAGAAGAATATCTCCAAGAAGCATTCTGGTGATCGAATTCCCGGTGATGATCGCAAAAGAAAGGATATAACACTTGAAGAGAAGCTCGATGTTATCAACCTCAAAATCACCCTTCTTCCCCATCAAGTTATATTCATATTTTTTCAAGGTAAAGTGTTTCATTTACTGTATGATTTCATTATTAGATATGAATGTAACATTTATTTAGACTGCTATCCTTTGTGTTAGGCTAACTACTAATATTTTTTTGAGTAGTAATCTGCACCTAACCCAATTTTCTCCATAAGCCCTGTTATTTCTATTACGCGATTTTCTATAACACGATATTTTACAAGAACACAACTATCGCGTTATAGCAGAACTGACTGTACTTCATTATTTAGGAAATTTTTGGATGTCGGGAAAGAAACTGTCTGTAATTTAGTCTCAAAGTCATTGCTTTATTTATTTATTCTCCGAAGTGGCCTTAAACCAGGCGTGTGAAATGCAAGACACACCAAAGCACGTTCCAGAAAACACAGCAACGAGCCTTCTCTCTCCTACTACTACTACTACGTGTTTCTGTAGTGTTAGCGTAAGATGCTTCATCTCATATGTGGCACGGATCACTCGCCTTAGTCTCGTTATCTTCCTTGGGGTTTATTTAGAATCGCTCGAGAATGTCAGATTAAGTCATATGGAAGATAACGAGACTAAATTCGGTGGTCCTGGTGAATATATATATATATATATTATTTTTTTTTTCTGTTATACGGTAAGTCAATGTTCATACACTTCAAAATGCCTTGTTCCTTAGGGTGCCTTAAAGCATATTGTATATTAATATTTTTTTTAACGTACTGGGACACCTTGAGGTAAACAATGGGTAATTAAGGCCTAATTAGCCATTACTGTATGTATAACACTTTAATCACAAGATAGAAAGTGGATCACATAGTCACTAATTCTAACATTCTTAGGTATTTTGCAGATTTCTCAAATTTTCCAAACTGTGAACTCTCAACCAAAGTATTAATATTTAATTTTCATATACTAGCTTTATCAATTACTGTGGCAAAATAATATTAATATTTTATTTCAATCATTGTTAACTATGCATATATATATATATTCATATATATGTATACTTATCTCTCCATTTTAAAATTGTATGAATTATTTTGGTATTCCACATATCAGCAATGTTTTACACTATATTAAAAAATATATATATAATTATTTAAAAATTTTGCTTTGGGATTAATTATAAATCAGGGACTTTTAATTTGTTTATATTATTTTCCTCGTATTAAATTTTAATTTTGTCCTTAGTTTTATTTTTATTTTATTTTATTTATTTTTTGTCACGTTACCAGTGGCCATAACGGTATGTGTTGAGTTACAGTATTTTGACAGCTAGAGGGACGGTCTGGTATTAAGCTCATCGTGTCTAATTTGTGTTGGTTTTTCAAAGACAGTAATTTTGTGTGACGTAGAGTGAAAGATTTAAAATCGAACATGGAACATAAAACGATTGGGTAGTCCGATGTGACCACCGCCTAACGACATTTTTGACGAGGTCGACAAATATCAGAATTAACACCGAGATTGTGACAAAAAAGTGTCTGAAAAGATAGACCCAGTTAATTGTTTACAAAAAATTGAGGATTGTACTACCATTAATGACCAAGAAGTTTGCACTCTTACATTAAGTCTTTGCAGCTCAATGTTTACCAAGCGAGTCATTGTGTCATCCAGTTCATTGCTCTTAAAGTATGGTGTTTCATGTTCGTTTTTTGCGTTTTTGACCCTATGAGGAAACTGAAGCCCTGTATATATATTTTTCTGTCTAACAACCCATACTATCACCTCTGGGTATAAGGGTCATGTATGTTTATCCTTAGGTTCTTTTGTCAATAATATGTATGCATATAAATATAATAAAATTTTAATGAAATTTAGCCTTTCTTTGTTCAAGAGGAGCTTTCATATCCCTTCTTTGGTACTTTTTAATCTTTAATCCCTGTGTTAAGAAACACCCGAATTGGCTGATTGCGGTAGCCTAAGTACCAGCCGAATTGGCTGCGAGCTCAAATTTTCGACCCTTGACATCATTGGCTTGGTTTCTTCTCGACGGTAAGAGTTGACATCAGTTGCTGAGGGCTCTAGAGCTATGATTGTCAACAATACACTGCTAATTAGGTTCTAACCCCCTTTTGGAGGCATAAGAGTTTTACATTAGAATGCCTCGATGCATAATATTGTAATTAAAAAAAAAACTACGTGAAGTACTGCTTGTATCTGGCACTGGCTGGAATAAAAAAAAACACAGGAACTGAGGATTAGTGTTCGATTGGCATTGTTTTACGGTTATGGACCAAAAATATCTAAAAACTGCATGTACCAGTATCGTGATATAACTAAATTTTTAGCCTTGTACATAGTGAAATACTGTATGATTTTAGAGTGTATTTTTGTGTAGGGAAACGGGTTTGGATGCAAATTTAAGCTAAAAACCAACTTAAAACTTGCAAGTATACAGCTAGTGCTTTTGTCGATGCTGTCTTAACCGTCGATGAAAACTAATTTATCAGTTTACACGTAAGAAAAACTAAAATTCTTGCAAATAGACGCTTGGGTAAAGAGTTTTTATAGGCGAATACGAAGTCTGACAATTAAGTTTGTAAACTTTATTATCAGACCTTGTATGTTTAGCAGTGCAAGTGACAATACCTGTACTGTCAATATCTGAAGGAAAAAAGGGTGTTTTACTGTGAGACATACAGTTGGCCAGGTTGGTGGTGTGTGATATTTGGAGGTAGAATTATTTAGATACTGTATAAGTGACCAGAATGCTAGAAAAGGCTTTATAGTGAGTATACAGTATGAAGACATGTGTAGTCTAGTTCCAGTAGTTGGCAGGTATCAGACAGTTGGCATTACTCCCTGGAAAGATACTGGAAGAATAATGTGTTGTCTAATGGTAAACCCTACTGTCATATGGCATCACAAAAATTGTGACCAAGTCCCAGGCTGCTGATCTGACTTTCTGACTCATTTACTGTACACACAACGCAACATATTATAGTATTGTTTCTTGCCATCGATCTATTATTTTCTTCCATTTCGGTATTTAT